ATTTAAAAAAAAAATTAATATGAGTAGGGTCCCAATGGTCACTATGATCAAGTTATGCTCTAATTTAAAAAGCACTTATAAATATATTTACACATCATTCATTAATAAAATCTTCACATTACAATAAAATTTGATCATATAATTTTATAGGTTATGTGTTAAATTCTTTATCAACTAAATTAACTTTTATGGGTAATTTTATCTCAAAGAAATGGGGATTTCAAACCCCCTTTTCCATTTGGGTTGGCCAATAAGGCAATGACAATGAAAAAGAAATTAGACTTTTGATAATTTATAAAGTTCATAGAAAAACATATGCTCTCGGAAACATAAATTGTCCTCCCAACGGGCCACATTTTTTTGGGCCAAACAATAGGCCACATATTTGAACCTCACAAGTAAAATACCTATTATATTATAATTAATTAAATGTTGTCTACAATTGTTCGTGGTGATTTCTAAATTTTATAATTAAGTGTTTCAATAATAACATATAGATTTTTAAGAGTAAAATATTCTAATTAATAATTAAAAAACTTTCTCATTTGTCTTCAAGAGATTTTTTTTATTAAATATGATCATTAATATTTTCAAAATATGCATGTGCGTGTTTGTGTGTTTGAGCAAAATAATTGATTTAAACTACTCAACAACTGAACCACATTGGTTAGAAGAGAAAATAGACCTAGTGTCAAACTTTGACAAACTAATTGGTTTGGTTTTGTATCGTTTTTTTTTTTTTTTTGCCCCCCAAAACGGAACAAAACTGAATCTATTAACACACGACATCAGGTAAGGTCTGGTAAAAATATATCCAGAATAAGACTTTGCAGGCTTAGCTATAACATCCAATGATCTTAACAATATACCAACTACGAAGATGTGATGACCTAATAATTAGGATGTTCCATAAAATTCTTAATAGAATGTCAAACCCTTCATGTGCAGATGTTCGCACATTAAAAAGTTAGTGTTCAGGTTCATGCAGACAGGTGCAACTTAGAAATTTTTTTAATAACATGAAGGATCAGGACTCAAATATTTTATTGTAGAAGGATTTGCTCAGATTCCCAAGAAAGAATATGCACAAGGAGGAAAGAAGAACGCGAATGCTAAATATACTACAGATATTGAGATTTGAAAGCAATTTAACTATTATTTAATATCAATGAAAAAGACACACAAACACACACAATAAAAAAATTAATTGATAGGTAACAATTAATGCATGTAGCTAGCTTAATTTGGATTAACCGTACTTAATATAAACACTGAATACCTGTATCATTTAAATTATTAAAATTCATATTAATATTTATTAATTTATAATTCACTTAAAATTAATAAATGAGTGAATATAACTGAACCATTAATCTAAATTTCAAAAACTCAAATGATACAAACATTCAATACTTGTGTTAAGTACAGTCACTAAATTTAAATCCTAGCTAGAGTGGGTTGATGGAGTTTTGTGTGGCAAATAATTACCTTTCTTTTATTCTGTTTGGTCTTTCTCTTGATCGACTTCTACTGTGTAGCTCTGTGTTGTTTTTAGTTATATGAATTATGTTCGACTCAAAAAAAAAAAACCAAAAGGAAAAAAAAAAAGATTGTACGTGTATTATTAGAGACTTGACCGCCATTGTCAAGCAAATCACACATCTCACATGCTACCTTATAAGACATTTCGTGGGTAATGTCCACTAAATTAGGCGTAGAATGAGGTTGAACTCCATTTTTCATAACATCAAAATATTACTAGTTTCTTTGTGCATTCTCATTGAAGTTGTGAAATCCCCAAAGCTAAAATGAATTTGAGATGACTGATAGGCACTCATACTAATGGAAAAGAGTTATGATTGCTTAAATATAGAGTTTTCATTTCGAATCTGTCTAAACACAGAAAATATATTTAGGAGCACAATTTTGATTTCAATGACAATGCTTGAATTTGCCATATTCAAATAGCTATATTAAAAAAAAGACTTGAGATCAGTGATCCTCCGGAAAAATACCCCAAATCAGAGATATCTTCTAGGGAGGTGGAAGAAGAATTTCATTAATACCAATTACACTTTAAGTGTATTGGGAGCAAACAAGAGCTGGCGTATGTATTTTTTATGTATTATAACTTAATTTAATATAGTGCATGTGATCCATTTGGAAATCTGACACTTCGAGAAACTTCTTCATTTTTACTCAAACAGGTCCCGATTGGAAATTACGTTAATAATGGGATTTTAATGGTCCATTGAATGGAAACAACACAGAAAATAGAATTACGCATGCTAATTAAAAATTAATCAAATGCAAGCGAAGAGGATTAATGGCATGATGATGATGATGAACTGACCTTGCTAGGGATTGAGCGACCATAGAAGACAGATGTTCTGGGGAGTGTTTGGTTGAAAGATGGATGGGAATGAACATAGATGAATACAAGCCTTGATCGATTCCTTGGAAGAATCTCTGCCACAGAGGAGCCAATGGAAGAGGACCTTTTGTCAGAAACATGAAAGCAACCTTAGGGGTGTGTCTGAAAGGAACTTCCTGAGTCCTAGGAACCCTGGAAGCTCTCCATAGCAACTCTTGATCACTCATATTATTCAAGAAATGATTCAACCCGTCATGCTCTGTTGTTAAGGTAGGTTTTGCTGTCTGGTTCTGAATATTTATGAAGCAGGGTTGTGTTTCTGTGGTGTGGTTTAGTGAAGAAACATTGATGGGTGGGGGAGAAGGAGAGGGTGAGAATCCGAGGAATTGGTGGATGTGGAAGTTGAGGAAGAAGTCACTGAGGTAGAGAGTGATTCCGATGAGAAAAACAGAGCCAAAGAGTAGAAAAACAGAGAAGCAGTGAAGAAGATAAGGGGATTGAGGATTGAAGAGGCTGAAATATGAGACTCTGTAAACACGTTCTTGCTTCATTCTGGAGACCCTGGGGGAAACTGAAGGATGTTGGGTTCAAGATTAAAGGGATTGAAGTATTGACTTTAGAGAATAGAAAACTCGGTCAGTTTCCATACAAGTAAAAGTGTTCAACGCTAGTATTTATTATAAGCTGAAACACGTAAGCCTTCAATACTCTTGATTTAGAATTAGTCTTTGTAAAGAATAAAGAAAGCACTTTGGCTGAAATTTCTAAAAAAAATACCAAGGGTACATTTGAGTCCAGCGTAAAACATCTCACGTAAAGTAAAATTAAGTTTAATAATTAATATAAAATATAATATAATGATAATTTAAATCTTGATATTTTAAGTTAAGATGTCTTGTATTCTTGCTCTCTTCATTTATTTATACTTTCCATTTTCTTAATAGGTTTCACTTTGAATATAATGATTTGTTTTAATTTAGTGCAAGCAACCATGTGTTGAAATGCTAAAAGCTGGAATTTTTTATTGATTAAATGTTCTACTCCCTCCATCCCTACATATAAGATGATTTTAGTTGAATCACACAAATAAATAAAATTTAATTATCTAATTAAAAGTATAGCAATATTTTAATTTTGTCTCTAATTATTATAAATAAAAAATAAATTTTTTTAAAGTAAATTAATGAGAGTACTTTTTTTTCTTTCCAATTTAATAAAAGTATCATGATCCATTTATTAAAAAAACATGCTAACAATTTTTTTATATTTAAGGACAAAAAATATTAAAGAAGACCTCTTATATGTAAAGACGACGGAGGGAATATATTATATTTCTAATTAAAAGCTTAGCAAGCAGGACAAAGGGAAATAGCCTAACAAAATATTATCTTTGTTTTAAATTATAAAACACTTTTGGTAAAGATTTGATATTACAAAATAAAATATACTTTATCAAAGATAAAATTTCATAAATAATATTTTTTAATATTATCCTTCACATATATTCTCTCTGTTTAATATTTTTTAAAAATAAAATATTAAATAAAAAGTATTTTTAAAAATTTATATTTTAATTTTGAAAAAGTAATGTTATAAAATATATTTAATGAATCTTATTAGTATATATAATTTTATTTAAAAGTGTCTTATAATTTAAAACACAAAGAGTACTAAATATCAAGATTAGTAGGGCTATAAAGAGTCAATGCCGTGGGCAATTGCTTTTTTATACTCATTATTTTGTTTTAATTTTTATAATTTACTATATATAATTCGTTATGATGAAAAGTGGATTGAAAATAGAGTCTTATACAGAATTCAGTTTTCATTATGTGGAATTCCTTGAAAGGGGGTCACGGCATTGACATTAACGCAAACGTGAGGTGTCTCGTATGATAAATTATTTTAAATGGTGATGGAAACTGGCTTGATACTTGACTGGGTTTTACATGTTAAAATGTTTCTCGACGTTGGAGGACTTTAGAAGGTTTTATTGAATTGAGTGGCACATTGACATAATTTTTATTGATTCTTCAATAATTTTAATTAATTTTTTGATAGGTTAACTTCATAAGTCAATTAATTTAGTGAATGGCAAATCACTGATCTTTCAACAAGACCCACAGATTAGTTCCATACTTCCACGTACTAAACAAGGCCCAGAGAAAGCTCGTTTAATTCCATCAATGGAAGTGTACTGTGAAATGGCAAGTGGGAACCCTTGAAACACTGGGCTTTGTTTCTGGGCTTCTGGCCCAAAACTTTTGATAATCTAAAAAAAACTCCCCAAATTAATTTCTTTAACAAAATAAGTGTATCGGAGTTTTTACTTTTTATACATCACAGGACATATCAATGACAAAAATTACGTACCAAAAAAATGACAAATATATCAAAGAGAGAATGGATTTGGATCCGGTTACTCACTTAATTTTACTTACTCAATGAAGTCTAACATGATAAAATGAAACTAACCAAATTTTAAATTTTTGAAATAAATGACATACTTGAAAATTGTCTTAAATTTTTTGAGAGAGATGTAACTTGATAGTTTTTAAGCGTTGATGAATTTAATAACTATAATTAAAATATTGATTGAATGAATAAATTTATACCATTTACTGAATTCAAATCCAAAAATAATTGTACAATTATAAAAAGGGGAAAAAGAGTACAATAAATTCTACAGACTAGCACTAAGTCAGCTGAATTGCATTAACTTCGGCGCAAACCTAAGCAATCTATCCAATGCATGAGGCGTAAACTTTCTTGCAAACAGATGACACACATCCGTCTTCTTCCCATTATACTTACAGGCTCTCCCACGTCTCATCCTCTCCAAGAACTCATGAGTTATATCCATCCTCGTAAACCTCGCAGGGTGGGGCCCACCCTTGGACCAGTCAACCCAGGTCAACGTCCTGTTCGAGTTGTGCTTCCAGAACTTGATGCTCACCAGCGTAGGCAAGTAGTGCTCGTCGCCATAACACGGGGCCCTACAGTGCCTTTTGAAGACTGGGAAATATTTCCGGTCCGACACAACCTCAAGGGCAAGGGCTCGATCTATTTGGAACCACTGAGAACCCTTCCTCCATTGGTCTAACCTGATGTGAGGCTTCATTTTGGGACTGTAACGTCCTCGTCCCACAGGACCAGGCTTATCGTAGGCTTCTACGAAGGTTTTGGAGGAGTTCATGAGATAGTTGTAGATGGTGGAGAAGTTGAACAGAGGAATGCATGATTCTGAGAGGAGAATAAATCGTTGGTTTGAGAAATCAAGCAGTGCATTGGCTAGCAACCGTCTCTCTGCCTCAATCATGTTCATATCACCCCACCTTACAATCTACATATATATGTCGAGAAGCGGGTCAAAGACAACTCTTTTTTCATTAGAAGATAAGACGTTGGTAACTAATTCACAATTTTAAAAATTTAAAAAAATTAGGAAAAACCATAATTTCTTAAAAAACTATATAAGCATCTTAATAATGATAATCAAAATTCCACTGTGTCATTTAAAAATAATAATAAATGAAATTAAGGTATAGTTAAAAAATAATTATAAAACTATTTTAATATTTTTTATTTTGAACTAAGAAAGACTCCTAAAAGATGCATTGTATATACATAGTGAAGGATAGGTTCAACTCCATAAAGGAATAGAAGTCAAGTTTGGCCTATGATATATGTTTTATTTGGTGTGTGCACATATACGTATGTATATACGTATTTGTGAACGTTTTGTACGAATTTTGTGTTTAAATATAGATTATTGATTGATGCATGTTAGAGAAAGAGTTGGAGGAAAGGAAGGAATTGAGGAAACGTTGATAAGAACGTGGAAAAGTAGGCTTTGGGAGATGGAGAAGAATAGAATAGAATTCTGATCTCTTGGGGTTGGAAAAGGAGTGGAATCAAAGAAAAGTATGTAACGGAAATATACTGATTGTAAGGGCAACCTTTAATTGAAAGACACGAAAATACGAAATATATATGTTTGTTGGGACACCAGATGTCGACAAAATAAGATTAATTTACAAAATAAATTTGAAATAAGTTGAATCCTTGGAGAGTGATGCCATCAAATTAAATAAAGATTTTGAAAGTATATGTCAGAGTACTCATTTGCAGGCTTTGGCTATATAGGTTCTAAATTATCTTACAAAAATTCCATTTTGCTGACCTTGAAAATGAGATCATGCTCCAGATAGATTTATAAAGACATAAGAGGTTGAACAACCTAGCTAGCAAATAATTTTTCCCTCTGCTATTAACAAATAAGAGCAGTAATTAGACAAATGTTTAGTAATCATATATCTAGGATATATATATATATATATATATATAAGCAGAATTCCAGTCTCCAGAAACGCCCACGGTTTCCCAACTAGCTAGGTCATCCAAGAAGAGAAGAAAATGTGAATAATGAATATGCTTCTATATAATAGTCGTTTATCAATCGAAAATAGAAAGTCAAAGCAAAATTCGTTATAATTGAATCAGACATGCATGAAAAAGAGACATTCTAAAACACAACAATTGTTCGCACTTGCAATATATATTATTGGTAATAGCGCGGCATTGTCTTTCTGTACAAATTATTTAACCTATAGAATCCCCAGCTCACGTCTAGAATTTAACGACATTGTTATCCAAATCACACACATTCTATACCTTTCTCGAAGTCATTTCTATTCTATGCACTAAACTAGGCGTTTCATGCGGTTTAACATATTTTCGACTGATGAAAAAATCGTTTGCTTTCTTTTATGAATCATTCTCATTATTAAGACCATGAACCCCTAAATTAAGTGAACATCAATAAATTGACAATAAAAGGTGATCTAAAAAAAAAAAATATCCCTGATCAAATTCTTTTTGTTTGTTTGCAGGAGAATCAATGAATACTTATCACACTTTGAGTATAATATCAGAAAAAAGAAAAGCTAGTCCTATGTATTGTAATGCATGACATCCAATATTAGAAGCTAATTAATGACTTAAACTGGAGTTTCTTGGAAAACAACAGTTACGGATTCAACGAAAACGAAACGAAAACCAGAGACAGTACTACAGCATGTACTGTGCGTGTGCGTGCGCGTGCGTGTGCGTGTGTGTGGCAATCAAACGTGGAGAATATTACTAATTACCTTGCTTGGGATTGCACGGTCATGAAAGACTGAAGTTTCTGGAAGAGTCTTGTTGAAAGACGGAGGGTAATGGACATAGATGGAATACAAGTCTTTATCGATTCCTTTGAAGAATTTGTCCCAGAGAGGAGCCAACAGAAGAGGACCTTTTGTCAGAAACATGAATGCAACTTTGGGTGTGTGATTGAATGGAACTTCCTGAACCCTTGGAGCCATTGAAGCTCTCCAAAACAGCTCTTGTTCGCTCATATCATGCATTGCCTCCGGAGGTTTCAAGAAGTCTTTCAAACCTGTTCGGGTTATTAAGGTTACTGCTTTCTGATTCTGATGAACATCTAACGACAACGACGTCTTTGTCCGATTTGAGGAAGAAATATTGATGAGGGTCGAGATTTGAGATGGAGGTGAGAGGGATGGATATGGCGATGAATGTTTTAATGAAGTGGATGGGATGAAGAACTGTTGGATTTGAAAGGTGAGAGAGGGGTCTTTGAGGTAGAGAGAGAGAGAGATTCCGATGAGCAAGCCAGCGGCGACGACCAGGAAAAGAGAGAAAAGAGAAAGGATATAATGGAAGTGAAGAAGATTGAAGACGTTGAGAAATGACGGTGCAGAGAAACGCTCAGACTTCATTGGAACAGAAAGGAGAAGAAAGACCAGGAGTTGCAGAGGAAAAGGGGGATTGAAGGACGATGATCGCGTATGGGTTGTGTTGGTGACTTGGTGGAGATATATGGATTAATAAATAACTACATTTGTTCCTGAAGACATAAACTATTAATTGATATTTGTTTTGATTTTTAATTTAATTTTTTAATGCTTATACTATTATTTTAAAAACTAGATCAAATTGAATGATTGAATCGTCAACCAGAATTGTTAATGAGTTAGTTTAGACAAAACAAAATTTATTTTTGTGATTGAGCTAGATTAAATTAGAATTGAGCTATTATTAAGTTGAAAAGCAAAGTGATTTTTAGAAGATTGGACAGTTTTAAATATAAATATTAAAAGAAGTTTAAACAATTTTAAAAGATAGATTTAAAAATTAGATCTTTACTAAGTACTAACTTTATTTTTAAACAATTTATATGCATAAAAGATGATTTGAAATCATTTTTTATATTTAATAGTTATAAATATAAATATAAATACTTTTAAATTTTTTTTCATACATAATTTAACTAAGATCCATCTCTATTTTATAAGCTATAAAATTATAATTTATAATATTATTAGTTTACAATCATGTTATGTTATTTTATTAACAATTAGGTATGCTATAGATTTATTTCTTATATTTATTTTATAGATGCATTTAATATTATTTTTATTTAATTATTATATAATCAGTCTAACCAGTCAGATCATGAAATGAAGAATTGCTAACTTTTTTTATTTAATATTTAAAATGACTTTTAAAACATTTTGGGTTATACTGAATGAGGCTATTGAGAAAATTCAATTACTTTCTTCTTCCTATAAAAATTCCCTCCCTCCAACTCTCTCTCCTCCTCTTCAATATCTTTTTGATATTTTTAAATTTAAATATTTTTGTAAAAAAATATCTTAAAAAAATATTTAAAGGAAGAAAATTGTGAATCAATGAATTGGTTGGTTTACGAAGAGAGGTTCTGTCTCCCACTTTGTATGGGAGTCGGTTTTTCTCCTTTAAAAGAAGTTTCATTTGCCTCTTCTTTGAGGCAAAGGGAAATTTGAAGGTCCAAATTTAATATTTTTATTTTTATTTATTTTTTAAAATAAAAATATATAAAAATTATAAAAAATTTTAATAAATATATAGATAGTTTAAATTTAATATTAAAATTTTTTAAAAAAATTTACTGTTCTATTTATAATATATTTACACTGTCTAAAATATATTTAAAAAATTAATTTAAATTTTTATATTATATTTAGACCATTTATATTAAATATGAACTATTAGATTGATGAGTATATTTATTAAAAATTTTTTAAAATTTTTATATATTTTTTATTTTAAAAAATAAAAAATAGAAATATTAAATCTAGACTATTCAAATTAAATTTAGATAGTTCAGATTTTTTTCTGCCTCAAAAGAGAGGCAAAGGAGGCTTCTCTCAAAGAGAGAAGCCGAGTCCCTTCGCATGGTACTCTCCGGCATCTTATATGAAAATGAAATCTTATTTTATCTCTTACATTAAATGTTTTTTATTAAAATAATTATAATTATTGTTTGATTCTTTGGGTAAATAAATAATCCCTCCCTTCAAAATGTTTAAATAGTAAATAATTAAATTTTTATAGGAAGAAGAAAGTAATGAGATTTTTTTGGCCAGCAAAGTAATATTTAAATAATTAAAATAATTGTAATTAATGTTTAGTTGTATTTAATAAATATTTGAATTTAATGAGATATTCATATTCATTTCTGATTAAATTAACTTACTAAATAATAATGTTAATTGTTTTCTTGAAATGAAAGTTAAATAAAAATGTATTGCCCAAAAAAAATGTCTTATAATTTTAAATGAATAATTAATCATTATATTGCAACACGTCATCCATGTTTATTCTAATAAAAATAATGTTCGTTACCTAGCTAAAACTTGATATGTAATTATTTTTAATGACTTTAATATTGGAATATATTATGTGTTTTAATTTTTTGCCTCTTTTTTTATTATTATCTATGATAGAATCAATTTATACTTATTATCATATATATTTCATATGATATAATGAGAAATTTTTGCATAATCACAATACATTACATCATTCATACTCTATCAAATAAAAATATACAATGTCAAATGATTATCGATATAAATTAATTATGTTATTAATGATTATAAAGAGAAAACAAATAAAGAATTAAGAGGCATTCTATTTCAAAATAAAATAAAATCATTAAAAATAATAACATACAATATTTTTATTAGATTAAACTAGTGGTATAATGTTATTGGATAAAAAATAAATAATGTAGTGCACGAAATTCATGCAAGAATTTCTCCTAATATGATATGCTTTTATCTTGAATAGAGTATAAATAACGTGCTATATCATATCCATATAAGCATTTCTCAATAGATAATTAAACTATTATTTTACTCGTAATGGATGAGTTAAAAGAATAGCATATTTAGGGATTAAAAACTAATTTCACCTTCAAACTATTGGTTCAAAAGATTTTAAAATCCTAAACTTATTTTTAATATAATATTTTTTAGGGTCCATTTGGCATTTATTCTATGGTTAAAAAGGGTAAGTATCTTGAAACCTATGACAAATAATATTTTATGATGGTATATTGTACGTATTTTAATACCCAAGTAGAAGGCTGGCCGCAAAGAATGCGTTTATAATTATATATAATTTTTTTATTTTAAAAAAATAGTAGTTTGTCAACCATCTTAAAAGTTGAAAAAGATTTTAATAGAACTAAATTTAGAGTTCAAGACCTGCAGCTTACAACGCGTGGCAAAATTAATACCATAGGGGGGGGAAACAATTTAACTGAGCGCGCATGGCTCAAGCAAAAAATATATATATATATATATATATATATGTATGTATGTATGTATACCTTCTTTGTCTAAAAATATAAAATATTTTTTAAAGAATTAAATATTTAAAATAATAATATATTTTTAATTTTTTAAAAATAATTATTATTTTTTTAAGCGTTTCTATTGTTATTATAAAGGGTTTAATAAAATTAAATATAAAAAAGATTAATTTAAAAATAAATAATTATTTTAATAAAAAATGAAATTTAATTAAAAAATGAAAGGAGTATATTTTTTGATGGCTCAAGCAATATTTTAGCATATGAGAAGTGAGATGAGAAACGGGTCAACTTACGGGTTGTGGCTTCACATGCGGCGCATTGTGAGTTGACAGGTGCGGATTAGAGAGGCTTGCTTTTTGGCAACCATGGATTCACCAATGGTGAAATGGGAATTGACAGTAGAGTCGAATGAACGGCTTGTTTAAACTCCATAATTATCATTAGGGTGAATTTAAAATTTAGATATTTAAAACATAAAAATGAGTTTATAAGGACTAATTTTAATGTGTTAAGGGCTTAAACAGGCAAATTTAATTGGACTTATTTATTAACTATTAATTATTATGCTAATATTATTGATATTTTTTAACATTATTGATAATTTTTCGAACACTTAATAATTATTATATTTTTTTAGAATTGAACTTTGCATGATAGTTTGGTTGGTTTAATTTCAGATGATAATTTCTTTATCCAAACTTTAAAAAAATTGTTTGATTTAATTTAAACAAGAGAATGATTTGATTTATGTTATGCAGGCATGTTAATATTTTTGACAAAAGAACATTTTTACACTTATACAATTTGAGAATGTATGGTTTGAATTAAAAATTTATAAATTTTAATATTTTTATTACCTGAAATAGGAGTTTTTTTTTGGCATAATCATGATGCTAATGCTGCTACTAATGTTTAAGTGTTATTGTCTTATTAAGGTTTAGAGAAGAATTACTTGATTTAATTAAATTTTAATAATAGTTAATGTTTAAGTTTGTTAATATTTATGACATGAATTTAGAATTTTATAATATTTATTTTTTTCATTTTATGTATTTACTAAAAAGAGCAAAGATATTAAAAAAAATAGAAAATGGCTTGAAGCTTGTAGGACTGCCCTGAGCTCATGAGGTCAAGGGTTGAACTTTGTAAAACCTTGTTTGCAAAAACCCACCCCTTTTAAGCCCAATCCATCAAGGGACAGTTTTTCAAGATTGAGATGACCTATTTTTCCATCTCTAATTAACTAGTATGAGCTAAAATACTTTGTTCATAAGGGTTGGGAATTTCCTAGCCCAAACCAGTAGGCAAGCTGGCCCACCATTCCATGTCTTTTTTTAATCATTTTTTTAAAATATATTTTTTATAGTTTTTCTCTTAAATATGAAATCCTATTTTATTTATAAATTATTTATTTAAATATCAATTTTAAAAGTCTAAAGCAGTGAGAAAAGAAAACAGCCATATCGCTTCAAGTCTAAAAATCCATATCACCATGATTGTCTCCCCTTTTGTCTATTCTCACACCCACAATCATATCTTCTAATCAATCACTTGTTGCCTCCTTTCATCAATTCCACGTGTTGTTCTTGATTTTCCAGTTAATTGACTTCCACATTTGAAGAATCTTGACCTTCTTCCCAGTTATTCCGCCACTATTGGTCAGGGTTAAGGGAAAGAGAGAGTAATTTTTCTTTTTTTTAAAAAATCTGAATCATTGTTGACATTGAAGATCTAAGTGACATGTGGCTGCCAAGGATATATATTTTTAGCAAAAAAAAAAAAATTCAATGAGCAAGTTAACAGGGCATTTACATGGATGTTATGTCTACGCATGCATGGGACTTAGTCACAAGCTTATACTAACATCGGTATGTGACGCATTAAAGGCAAGACACACATAGTTAAGTTTTTTTTAATGTTTGAGAAAGGGAATGATTTAAAAATTGAGTTCATGATATCAAGTGTTTCTAAGCGAATACTTCGAAAGTAAAAATGACCCTTAATTCTTTTTATTTTTTAATTATGAATTTCATATTTTAAAGTGACTCTCCCTTCTTCTTTTCACAATGGAATAATTTTGTGCCAAAATCTTTCCATTGGAATCATGAAAAGATTGACTTCCATAACCACTCCATCAAGCTCTTTATGCCTTTGATTCTTCTGTACCATAAAGGGCCTTAATGTGAATATTATGATGGTTTATAAAACAGTCAAATGAATTAGAGCTTGCATAGGTGGCAGATGAAAGGACAGAAAAGGAAAGAATATATATAATAGTTTAATACAGTGTTTGGTTCAAAAGAAATGGACTGAACAGATTCTAACATAGGGGAGATAAAAAATAATAATAATAATAATCCTTCTAAATCCAACCATAAACAGCAAAATGTAAAGAAGGTGAGGTTATGTACAGCAGAAAGAGCGCTTGCTAGATGTGGCGATTGGCGAGGGAGATGTGTGAACTAACTAATATCATATATTTGATATGCTTCTCCTTCTTAACTAACATGATTGATTATTCATGCCTCATCCATGATTAATATACCTATTCATCACGCTAATGCTCCAATTCTAATGCAAATCACCATCCACTTGTTAGATGATTTTCTGCTGCAAGAGTTTAAGGCAGATTATAAGGACGGAGAACTGATTGTTCGCTTTTAACCATGTTTATTATTATTTTTTTATATTTGTTGAAATAAGAACACGGGAGATATAGTCCCATCCCATTCTCAACTATCTTTGGGTTTTTTGTCAAAAGCATGTTTAAATATCTTTATTATTATTATTACTGCTAGTACCATTACCACTTAAAAGAATTATTTTATATTATTTATTTAAAGTAAAAAAATTTGTGTGTTAATTTTTACTTTTTATTGATGAATTCTTTCACGCACACACATGTTTGATCTTTTCCACAAAACAAAGTAAAATGAAAATGAAAAATTAAATAAAATAAATGAAAGATAATATTTCCTTTTATTTCAGAAGAATAATTCAAGAAATATTAATAGTCAATAAATATTATTGCAACCAGAAATTTAAAAATAGGCAAATGGGATGAGAAATATTTCTTATGTTAAAAATTGTGTGTTTTGTTTATCCATCAATTTGGTTTACATAATCAATTGCTTAGTGACTGTCAAGAAAAAAGTCACAATATTTAATTTAAAAAATCATGTAATAATGATAGTTATGTCACGTTGGAAGATTCTATTGACAGTCCATGAGTACTTTCTTTAAATGAAGACAAAGACGACTTGGAAGAAATGCACGACCACATACTTGGAAAAAGAGAAAGCCTATCGTATTAAATGGTGCATAACATCACAATGAGCGAATGACACAAAGGCAATAAAGTACAAAAACATCATGCCAATTTGAGGAGCCAAATGGAAACGAAACCCAGAAACCAATTTGCAAAATCTTGTTCAATCTGTATTAAATTTAAATGCCAGTGTACAATACATCTTATTCTCTCAAATATACAAATAAACATTAAACAATCGCAGAGCACAGGCGCAGGGTTATAACCTGCGAGCTCAGTTAATTAATAACATGGATTGCTCAGAAGACTACTGTGTTCAGAAATGAGAAGCATTAAGGCCTAGCAGCATAGGTGCAATCTGTAGCAAAGGACGAAGAGCATCTGACATAAACTTCCTACCAAAAAGAAAGCACGTAGAAGAAGCGTCATTGGATTTGAGTCTATCGGAAGCAGTGCAGTTAAATCTTGTTTGGTTCAAGAACTCAAGTGAGACCCCAGCTCTTCCAAATCTCCCAGGGTGTGGCCCACTCTTGGACCAATCGACCCAAGTGATGGATCTGTTCGAGTTCTCATGTGCGCAACACTTATTGATCAAAGTGGGGATATAGTGCTCATCCGAGTAACATGGAGGACTGCACAGCTCATTGAAAATGAGATAGTACTTGGTGTCTGATACAATCTCAATGGCCATTTTTCTATTCATCTCGAACCATTGAGACCCTTTACGCCAATCAGAAATTTTTATTGTGGGTGCCATCTTGGGGTTGTATCTGCCTCTTCCAGTTTTTCTTGGGTCATCATATGAGGCTACAAAACCATGATTCGCATTAACTAAGAAGTTGTATATTGTGGTGAAGTTGAACAGAGGAATGCAGGTCTCTGAGAGTAACACAAATCTCTCGTTGTAGAAGTCAAGCAGGGCGTTCGCTAAGAGGCGTCTCTCTGCATCTAACATCGAAGGTTGTCCCCATGTTACTGTCTGTAATCGAAGAACGACACGAGGAAAAAGTATTAGGATAAAATTTAAAATTGGCTCTGGCAATGCCTTCGTGATTTTTCTTCTCCATTCAATCTTTCATGCTTTAAAATATATATATATATATATATATATATATTCTTGCACCAATTAATCTATAAGGACACAGATTGTTGAGTTGACTGATTTCTGTTTAAATGACACCAGTTAATTCACATTTGCACAGATTTAGCTTACATGTGACGACTAAATGTATGAAATTGAACTTGGATACGTAAGCTTTAGAAGTATGCAGTTCTTGAATTCATGAAATCAATGTTCTCCTAATCAAGTCTCCTTATGAGTTATGAGTTAATCGGCTCTGTGGTTTTGACTTTAACGATAAAATGACCATGTTAAAAGCATTTCAAAAGATGAGGGTTAAATTATTAAAAACGAAGAACAAAAAAATTGAAAGACGGTCATTGCATTCCACTGTACATAACGGGAATGTTTCTCCAGGTAAAGAGAAAGAGTTGGAACTTGCCTTGCTTGGAATTCTTGTTCTGTAGAAGACAGAATCCACAGGCACTGTCCAATTGAACAGAGGATGAGTATGAACATATATGGTGTACAGCCCTTGGTGCCCTTTGAAGAACATCTCCCACAAGGGGGCAAGATGAAGGGGTCCCTTCGTCAAGAACATGAAAGCAATCTTAGGAACATGCTCACCCTGGAATTTCTTCCTTTTTGGAACCATTAAAGCTCGCCAGAACAACTCTTCATCATCCATATTGTGCATGAGAGGCTGCTGGGTATATGACCCAGATCCGTTCAGGCTCGGCTGAATCCATGGCTGTGGCGGAGGCAGTTCTGGCAGCCCTGGTGGTGACGAAGGGAAAAGTTCTTTTAGGCTGAATGAGAAGCTTTTGAAGTACACACTGATTGTGACACCTAATGACAGTCCTATTACAAAGAAAAGAAAACGAAGAAGATAGGTGAACGGTAACTTGGAGCCTAGAAGTTGGGCGACAAATGGAGAGTGCTTCAGTTCATTTCCCATCTTGAAAGGAGTGATGGGAGGAACTAGAAGAGGTTTAAACAAGATGGGACAGATTACTTATTTGTACAAGGCTCTAAAACCACCAAAATGACAAAGAAACGGAATTTAGATTTGGATAGACAGGCTCCTAGCGAAATTAAGATAGCATGCATGTGTTCGAATGGGAGAGTTTGAGTCCCGTCAGCGTTTCTTGAGCATCACGGAAAATCTGGATGCTCGTCCAACGCACCATCCTCTCATTATTAGTAAAGATAAAGCTAAACCCTCTGTTAATCTAGTCAATATTGACGCCTAATTCCATGTGCAGGTGTAGTAATACTGGTTTTATCATAAATTATTCGGGATCGTAAATTATTAAATAATGTAAATTATGAAAAATTACCAGAAAGATGAAGCGTGCATGAAGAATGAAGATGGTAGTCTGCCAGCGAAATTACTTGTGCCGCTTGGTCAAGAGGGATCTGAGCTCTCACTTTGACTCTTCCATTTTACTCTTCCACCAATAGTATGATTTCAAGGGGAATGCAAAGCAATAATCAGGCGTGATTAAAGGAAGTTAGGAAACAAAGTACATCTTGCTTCCTCCTAAAGGATGCACGTGTACGAGTATGTTACAAAAAATAATCTTGTAAGTTAGAACTCAGAAACAGGAGCCTAACAAATAGACTAACTGCAGTATAATAATGAAAAGTTGACCCTGGATTATAGTACCTTCTTTATACTTTGGCGACTTTATCTTTCAATGATTTGATGATTTCTGCACTTGACTCTAGGCCCATTCTCACTTCAGAAATTGGCCAAGTGTAATTGACGGAGGAGAAGAGGAAGAAAAGATGGTGTGCGTTGGGTGAAAAATAGCACAGACCTTTCAAGGCCAAACTCGAGCTCGGATAACTGTTATAGCAGCTCTGGTCTTGTATTCTATGGCTGCTAGTGCTTGGTCTTTTGGCAGACAGGTTGCTTCTATTTCCATTTCAATGACTAGGTTGGAGGCAGGGACGCTTTGATGGCAGTTTTCAAGAGAAGACTCCAACTCTGCGCTCTATAGAACTTTCACTTAAGGATATTAGCTTGTGCAACAACCTGTCGGATAATTGCTCTCAAATGTGAGAACATCAATCCACCAAAAAGCCGATTAAGAATAAGCCCTCACGTAATTCAACAGGGCCGACATTTGCGTGCAGCTGTGCTAGTTTAGAGGCCTCTCTTTCCAGTGGTTCTATTTATTGATCAAACATGCTTGAATTCTAGCAGCATTAACAGCTTGTCTGGGACGAAGTATCAAGTTCTATAAACACAAATGTGAAGTACAGAGCATCAAACTAATGATTTCTAGCTCAAACTTTAGCCCAATCTACCACCTAAACAACACGTGGTTTTCATATGAAAGTAACATAGGAACATAATATTAATTACTAGCGACAACAAGGCCAAACCGAAAACTATGTATACATAACTTTCTCCTTCAGAATGTAAGATTTCCTGAGAAATTCCCCAACAGTGCTGCATAATTCGGGACAAACAACTGTGTACAGTCAAATGCTATAGACAAATAAAAAGCAAGAAATTCACAACATGAAAATTGATTCATCTCTGCAAGGTACGTCCATGAGTTGATTTGTTGATTTCGTTTCTCTTTATGGACTGCATTATCTGATGTGTAGGATCTAATAAACTGCTAAAAACAATAACAAGTTGATAAGTGATAACAAAGTGAACTGAGTAAAACCATTTCAGGAATGCACTTATGACAAAATTTTAGATTCACTCCTTGCAATCTCTCGATAAACCCATTAAATGAACAGCAAGCTGATGCAGATGCAAAATAAAGATTGCTGAAAAAGAAATTCAACTCTACAAATCCGTGGTTGATTCAAAGTTCACAGATATAAGAGTTCCAAGAAGTAAAAAAATACTCCAGAACATGGTCATTGACAATTAAATTGTATTGCTATATAATTAGGTTTCCTTCTAGCGTTAAACTAAAGATTTTACAAATTTTTCAAAGTACCAATACCATAACCATGCAAGTCAGGGGCGGGTCCCCTTTTTTTTTTTCTTTAATACAGCAATAATAACAATAAGTCTTATCCCACAAGTGGATCAATTATATGAATTGTATGATGTTATTATACTCTATTATTTATTAAGTTTTTAAAATGGTTATTAATTAAAAAATTTTGGTTAACAATTCCATAGTATTTTCTCTGGCCTTCCTCTTATCTCTCTTTATAGGGTTCAAACTTATCCATTCCATTCTCCTTACTAATGCCTCCGACAATCTTTTTTTGTGTCCAAATTATCTCAAATGATTTTCTACCATTTTTCCATTAACAGATGCTACGCTCACTTTTTTCGTATATGCTTGTTTTGGATTTTTTTCCTTTACTTGTATGCCCACATGTCCATTTCATCATTTTTATCTTTGCTATTTCAGCTCTGCATTCTTGCTATTCCTTTAAAGTCCTACATTCACTATCATATAACATAATTAGTCTTATAATAGTTTGATAAAACTTACCTTTAAGTTTATTAGGTAATTTTTCAATGATAAATAACTCTTTAGCATTTTTTCCAACTAAATCACCTAGCTTGTATCCTATATGCAACATTCCCATCAATTTTTCTATTATATTGAATAATAGCTTCCAATATCTAAACTTTTTACTTAAAGTATAATCTAATTTTTCAATTTCATTTCAAATTACTATTGACAAGTCTCTTGTCAAAATTAAAATACAAATATTTTATCTTATTCTCTACATGGCTGAAAATCTTTTGACTTTAATATTTCCTCCATAACTAATCTCCCATTTTTCAAAAGTCATTTAAAAAAAAAACTTTAAAAGATAGGCCCTATCCTCCATGTGAAGGCAGGGGAGGGTCTTAGTCCACAAGTCAAGTCTTTCATTAGGTATAACACTTCAAAATAGACACATATGGCCAAACCAAGAGCTAGCCTATTCTCTTGTGAGTAGTGAGGGGAGGATATACCAACGCGGCCAGGAAAAATCTAAACAAGCAAAAAGCCATTACAACTAAAATAAATAATAATGAAGGACAGCAGGAGAAATTGTCATCTATGTTTCAGGAGACACAGTACATGTTGAATAGTGCAGAGTCACATGAAACTCCTAAGACATACCATTGATGAATCATGATAAATAGTTCATTCATAAGATAAACGAATAAAGAAATTTTCTATCCCTTGCCAGAGAAATCATAAAAGGAGGAAAGTTAAGAAAAATGTGTCAATTTAGAATTTCATATAAATAAAAATGTAGAGTATTTGGATCCACAAAAAATCATAGGAACTTCCAAATATATAATTTAAGGGCAAAAGTACCATGATTTATTGAATCCACAAATAACAGCCCCGCTACATTAGCATTTATATTTAAGACAAATGAACAACCTGATGCAAATATTGCCTACATTAGATAGATTGCAAAAAGTTTCAGGGAGAATTATATTGAACTCTCACACAAAAAATTAATTACTACAAAATTTATTGATAGCTAAACTAAATTGTATTAACAATTAGTTTATTGTTAATGACCTCTGTAATAATTAATTTTTTTATGTGAGACCTAGTTGTAATTCTCCCAAAGTTTGACCCTCAACAGTTAAATTAGATGGACACTAAGATGAGACCTTATTAGAGTAGCAGATAAAAACACTAAAATTATCTTGTATAAATTTCCACAAGCAAACTCCAATTTAACAGGGAAAATTACATTTGGGTCTTATAGAAGAGATTTAGGTCTTTGATATGCACAAAATACTTTCAAATCTCAAATATTGCAAACTTACAACTTGACAAAGGGCATTTATAATTGAAAGAATGATAAAGAGGTCTCAACATAAAATTAATTCAAGTTAAGTCTCAAGTGTCACACTTCAAAAATTTGCAGTTGAATCTCTCAATTTTGCAACTGCATTATGATAAATTTGTAATTTATTTTTTTAAATTATAAATGGTTGAAAAACAAAAAAAATTATTTTCTCTATTAGAATTTGAAATACAAATTACAATTCATTACAAAGGAGTTGTAAAATTGAGAGATTAAGTTACAAATTTTTGAATTTTGATACTTAAACCTAATTTGAATTAATTAGTCCTTTTAACCTCTCTGTCATTCCCATTTTACAATTTTTAAAGGAAAATGATAACTTATAATAATAAGTTTATTATATTCATTGCCCATTGTAAATACCATTTGTTGAGTTGTAAACATGCATGATTTAAGATTTGAAAGTATTTTGCACATTTCATAAAACTTTTTAGTAATTAAATAATAATTTCAGATATAATTTTTTCAATTTTAATATCCTTAACAATGCCAGAAACAAGGGACGAGGGTGATTGAACCACCCAGTCGGTCCCATTCCTTTTAACAACAAAACTACCGGAGTAGATTTCAAAACACCACTTGATCATCATCGCATGGTGAAAAAGCACCACAATGCGCTAGCACGTCGGCCACTTAAATAGCACCATCAAATATGTCCCTAACCCAACACCACCAAATTTGTGCAAAATAATCGAAACCAACCGCAGCCCTACATATCAGAAGATTTAAAATTTGAGGCCTTACCAAAATAGGAAAAATGAGGATAGGCATCAAAGCTCAAGATTCGACATTAAATATAAGACTTCAATTTACTTTGTCTTTTAAATTTATATTTTTTTACCCAAATTATATCTATTGATTGCATATATTAAAGGGTTTTCGTTGGAAAGGGGTAGCTTCCAACATATAATTGCAGGGATATTTTAAGAAAATCAACACACATTTTTTATTTATAAATGACTAATTAACTTATTAAATTTTTAAAAGATATATTGAAACTTCTAATCCTTTAAGTTTTTTTTTAATTTTGATTCAGTCTTTCAAATTTAATTATTATCGATTGAGTCTCTTAAGTTTATTCTAATTATTGATTTGGTCTTTTTTATCTAAAGATGAAGTAATACAATTGAAATTTGCTGACATATGGAAAATAAAATATTGATGACAACTACATACGTTAATAAGATTAAAGTAAGTACAGTTATTTAAGTAAGAACATAACAGGCTAAGAAATTATAGTAAATAAAAGAACAAAATACAATGTTAATGAAGGGATTAGATTGATAAAAATTAAACTGTTTTGAAGGCTAATTTATTTTTCATTTAACAATATATGCTTCTCAAGTTATTAACATACTTTATACATTAA